CTGTGGGAGTTATTTCTTGATGTCGGCACAACATCTGGAAGCCGACCAGGACCCGGATTGCGTTGGGGACGAGCTGAGTGATTCTCACCCCCCAATATCTCAGGCAGTCCCGGAGGAACCTTGTGGTTGGAATCCTTAGCCCTGCCTCCAACTGATCGATATATATGGCCACTCTACCTCGTGGAGGGAGCTCGGCTGACTGGTTCGTCTGAGGAGTATAAATAGTGTAGTCCCTCCTCCAGTGATACTGACGAACCACCTCGATGATCATTGCTTCAGTCATTACGCTGCCGAATTGAGGAACAATGCCGTAGTCAATTGCTTCCAGGTTCGGAGGAGTAGTAGGCTCTTGCACTCCCTCGTCCCTTGGAACTTCGTCGCCGAGGTCGTCGTTGTAGAGGACCTCCCCCTCGACCTCGGTTCCCTCGCTTTCTCCCTGGGGTGTCCCGGCCTGATGAGACGCTTCGGCCCCCCTTCCCCGGCCTCAGAAACCGTTCTCTCTTCGGAGGGTTCAGGCCTTTCTGCTTCGGCGAAGTCGGGCCTCACTGTCTCTCTATGAGTACGGGCAGTTCTAGCCATTGCTAGAGGGAGAAATGAAGAAGAAGAAGAAGTGAACTTACTCAGGATGTGGTTTGAAAGTGTGCCGAAGTGAAAAGACGAAGAAATAGAGCTCTGTGGTGATTCTTGATTTCTGGTGAAGAGTAAATTGGTAAAAAGGGACCCCTATTTATAGGCTAACAGGGAGGAGATGAAAGGGCAAAACCTTTGGGATCCGTAAGGACGCAACCTCTCTCCTCATTTAATGAGGACTGTTCATCTGACCGTTGATTTCACGTCCATCCACGGAGTCATCATTATAGCTGACAGCCGTCCTTTCACCCCTCATTCAGTCTCATCCGCACGGTAATGACGTGTCCCAACACTCCGTGTCTTACACCCTTATCAGCCCCGGGAAGTAGCCACTTCGGGGTACCGCGACCTCGCCCTTCCCGAGGCTTGGGGGGCTTAGTGAGGAGGGTATTTCCAGTTCGGCAGAGCTGGGGTCCCGCCCTATGTCTCTTAGGCTCCGACCACCTCGGCCGTTCGCCATCGCGTTAGGACTTCGGCTTAATTACAGCCTCGGCTAAGGTTTTCCTTTACTTAGCCGAAGTCAATTATGGTGACCAGACAACCGGAGTTGTGAAACATGACCTCTGACACCTCTGATACCTCTGACATTTCTGGCAAAGCTGCTCTGACACGCGCCGACTGACACAGCTGTCCCGGCGCACCTTTCTGCAGAGTCCATTGAGTCACTTTGATACGCTGACTCTGCCAGATCTCTAGGGACCTGTGCAAGCAGTCCCTCTCTCCTGTCCATCCTCTATAAATACTCAAGACTTCTACTGAGAGGGGGACGGCCAAATTTCGGGTAAAGGCATACTAGTCTTCTCTATACTCATTACTACTTCATTCCCGAACTGACTTAAGTTTCGGAGTTACACCGGGGACTATAGTCCCTCTTACAATTTGAGCAGGTGACCTCGTCTGAGTCAACCACCTAGGATCAGAGGTCTTCTCCAGCTCGGGTGATCCACTCCAGCAGGACAAAAATGACTTCTTCAGATAGCAAATTTACATATCCAGTTCACCTAATTCTCTCGCTCATTGATAGTTATTTCTATTTTGTATCTAAACATTTTCCTGAGTTCAACAATTCTTGAGACACTAGAAAAATCTTCCTCGAGTACTCTGAATATTCTCTGATGACTATCAAATGTAAAACTCGTTCCTGTCTCTGGGCTGCAATGACTTTGCTCCACGCTTAGACCCTCAGTTTCACAACTTGCCACGGACTGATAGCAGGATTCAACTGGTACAGCTCCAAGAACGTAGAGTAACTTGGATGCCAAGCGTTGATGATTGCCAAGAATTCTGGTATTTAGTTCCTTTAGAACTAGTGGTTTTCCGATTGATCATTCCCCAATGATGAGTGCTCACACATAGACACACGTAATAAAGCAAACATACTTGATGTGCATCAAGCCTGGAGGAATTAATTAATATATTTATCCTTATTTCTATCCAAAAAAAAAAAAAAAATCAAGCCTAAAAGAACAAAAGAAAGGAGATATCATGTATTCTGTAGTTGGCTTCTTACATGTTCTTCGGCATTTTGGAACCAAGAAGTCTTCCCTGACAAGTTTAATGTACTCCATGTCCATGCCTGCAGTTTGGAGCTCAATTATTAGCTGTTCTGCTGCAAACAGACACCTTGGAGCATCTGAAAATTTTCTTTACGTTTGCATGATTGCTCCCGAAATTTCGGTTTAAAGGTCTAGAAGAATACCACATTAGTGCACATATATCTAGAAGAATACTGCACATACAAGTGCAACCCCGAATTCTCTTTCGTCCGCAACTACTCTAATGAGGGCTTACATGATTGCAGTTCCCAGCGGGAAGAGCAAATCTCCTAACGGATTGATTTTACTGATCTTAACCTCATTTCTTCTGGTTAGTACCACCCTTTTCTGTTTGTATGAGAACCCAGTAATAGTTGATCGTAGTTCACCGCCTGCAAGTGAAAATCTTGTTGGTAACTCAACAAGGTTAGTGCGGCAGTGCGATTTATTTAGTGGGAATTGGATTCCTGTCTCCAAAGGGCCTTACTACACAAATGCAACCAAATGCGTGATTGATGATCGACAAAATTGCATGAAGTTTGGACGACCAGATACAGAGTTCTTGAAATGGAGGTGGAAGCCTAATGAATGCGAGCTTCCCTCGTTTGATGCGACTCAATTCTTGGAGCTTGTAAGAGGAAAGTCCATGGCCTTTGTTGGTGATTCACTGGCAAGGAACCAAATGCAGTCACTTGTCTGCCTCTTAGCCAGTGTATGTATCTATCAACTGCTTAGTTTCTTTTCTTTTTTTCAAATCTGACGCTATTACATTCAGGTTTTACTGCTATTGTCTATTGTTCTTATCCTTTTACTAGGTAGCTGAACCTGTGGATGTATCATATGGAGAAGATACAAGATTCAGACGGTGGTTTTATGCAGAATACAATTTCACTGTGGCAGCTTTCTGGTCTACTTATCTGGTTAGATCAGAAGAAGCTGACCCCAAGGGTTACTCCTTGACTAGCCTTATGAAGCTCTACTTAGATGAGGTTGATGAATCTTGGGCAGCCCATATTCAGAATTTCAGGTACATAATCATATCAGCTGGACAGTGGTTCCTGCGGCCACTTCTGTATTACGAAAAGGGAAAGATTGTAGGGTGTTATTTCTGTAACAAAGAGAATGTCACAAGCCTTACTCGGTACTATGGGTACAAAATGGTCTTCAGAACATCCTTTAGGACCCTGCTGAATTTGGAAGGCTTCAAGGGGATAACCTTTTTAAGGACATTTTCCCCTCAGCATTATGAAAATGGAGAGTGGAATAAAGGCGGGAATTGTACGAGAACGAGGCCAATTGGCAAGCAAGAGATGAGGATGGAAGAGTACAGTCTGGAGTTTTATTGGACTCAATTAGCGGAGCTGACAGCAGCGAAAAGGGAAGGGAGGAATAGGGGCTTGAAGTTCAGGCTTCTGGACGCTACTCGACTCATGATGCTGAGGCCGGATGGTCACCCAAGCCACTACGGACATGGCCCCAGAGAAAACGTCACTATTGCTGATTGTGTCCATTGGTGCTTACCTGGGCCGATCGATACGTGGAATGAGGCCTTGCTTCAGATGTTGAAAACCCAAAAAGCCTAGTGCTCGGGGCCCATTTCTTCGTAAACGTTGACAATTTGTTGTTAATCTCCATCACAAAAAGCCACAAACTGTTGGCCAGATGCGAAAATTTGAAGATGCTAATCTGTTTCATCCCAGTATTTAATGACCAGAGTTCTCTTTGCCTGTTGATATTTGCATAAATAGCCACCCTCTTGGAGAGCTGTTGACTGTTTAATCATCAGATTCATGACGTTGATTTTATCCCAAAATGGCTGATTAAATAATTAGAGATTCTTGGAACACATCAATATAAATAAAACAAGAAGGAAGTCACCCAGAATGGGGGAAAAAAAATGCAGAACAAAAAGGCACAAATAGAAGTCTGTTGTACTTCTAAACAATAGACACAAACATGTAATCTCTAAAATCAATCAATGAGGTGTACCATCTTTTAGTTTATTTGTGTTCGCTTAAATCACCCACTATGGCTTAATATAGGATTTTTCTTGCAAGAAAACCTGATTCCTCCCCACTTGTTCTTAATTTTTTGCCCCCATAGTTTTGTTAACTTGGAGCAATAAATTTCATATTCTTTTGTCCTTTGCTTTTCTTTCACTTTTACAACAAATATTTATTTACTCCATGCTTCGACCCTCCCCTGGGTCGTGGGTTGCCACTGGCTGTTGAAGTGCAGCCAGTCGAAGAGTAAAGGGGAAGGCAGAGTTCTACCAAAAAAAAGAAAGAAAAGGAAGGCAGTGCAGCTGATGATATCTTTCCTCGTACTCCAATGTGCACTGTCAGTGTCAGCCTTCAGTTCAAAATTTAGAAATGATTACTTTTTCATTGAAACTGTTTTTCCATTGATCATTATCATATCATGGGATTTAGCTTAATTACAGAATTAATCCACTAGATACGGTTTTTTTTTTGGTGGCTTTCCATTCATAAATCAAAGATATTATTGTTTTGTGAAAATTGAACGTGTGTTTTGGAATTTAAACACGACAAAGGCTACTCATTAAACCCTATATCCTCCTCAAATTTATCAGAACCTGTCATAGTATTGAAACTGAATTTTTTTTTTCAATTTTCTGCCGTGATTCCACAAATCTTTTTCCTTTGAAACCGCCATATAAAATGATACGTTAGAAACAAAATGCAAAAAGAAAAGACGAAAGAGATCAAGCGTCTAATTATTGCATTAGCGGAGGATTGCGTAGCTGTGTAGTTGCGTTGTGTATATAAATAAAGCAATAAAACCCAAATGCTAATTCATCGCGGTTACATTACATTACATCAATGAAGGCCTGTATCATTACACTTCCCAGTGGGAAGCGTACATGTCCTGATGTCTCCTCGAAAAGGCTGTCTTTACTGATCTTATCATTTCTTCTCCTCAGCACCGCTTTTTTCTGTTTGTACAACTATTCTTTTTCTCCATGGAGGCTGGATATGGAGTTGGTTTACAGGAGGAGTTCATTGCCTTCGAGCAGGGCATTTGGGTTGGTGAACCGATGTGATATGTTTTCCGGAGATTGGGTTCCTCAAGTCGAGGGGCCTTACTACACGAATGAAACTAAATGTCAGATTGATGATCGACAAAACTGCATCAAGTTCGGACGACCAGACACCGAATTCATGAAATGGAGGTGGAAGCCAAGTCAATGCGAGGTACCCCCGTTTAATGCAACTCTCTTTTTGGAGCTTGTAAGAGGAAAGTCGCTGGCCTTTATCGGTGATTCACTCGCAAGAAATCAAATGCAGTCATTGGTTTGCCTCTTAGCAAGTGTACGTTGCAAATAATCAATACTAGTAGTATCTTTTTCCCTCCTCCTTTTTTTTTTTTTAATCTTTTGGTGGGGGTAGTTTACTCAAATGGTTAAAATCATATATATTGTAACTAAATGGTGTTTTTATCTGTTCTCTCAGGCAGCTGATCCTGTGGATAACTCATATACAGCAGACCCAAGATTTAGGCAGTGGTTTTATGCAGAATATAATTTCACGCTAGCCATTTTCTGGTCCGTTCACTTGGTGAAATCCGAAGATGCCGACACCAATATCTACCCCGTCACGAGTCAAACCCTCTACTTGGACGAGGTTGATGAGATCTGGGCCAATCACATTGAAAAGTTCAATTATGTGATCATATCAGCTGGACAGTGGTTCCTCCGGCCACTCGTGTACTACAGAAAGGGTAAGCTTATAGGTTGCTACGCCTGCAACAAAAGGAAAATCACCGGCCTTAGTATGTACTATGGGTACCAAATGGCCTTCAGGACATCGTTTACGACGCTGCTAAATTTGGAAAAGTTTAAGGGAACCACATTTCTGAGGACAATATCTCCGCAACACTATGAGAACGGAGGATGGAATACAGGTGGGACCTGCGTGAGAACAAGGCCGATTGCAAAGGACGAAATCAGGTTTGAGGAATACTTCTTGAAACTTTACTCGACTCAAGTTGCGGAGCTGATAGCCGCAGACGGGAAAGGGAAGAAGAGGGGCTTGAAGTTTCGGATCCTAGACCCAACTGATATGATGGCAGAGAGGGCAGATGGTCACCCAAACCACTATGGACATGGCCCTGGTGCCAACTTCACAAATGCTGATTGCGTCCATTGGTGCCTACCAGGGCCCATTGACACCTGGAATGAGATCTTGCTTCAAGTGTTGCAGTCGGAATATAATGCTACTAGCCTGATGGGTAAGAGCACACCAACAAATCAGACAAATTCTTGAATTTCCGCCCGGTCAACTGAGGTTCCCCTACCCCATGATTCTTCCTGTTTTCGCAAGCTTCAATGTGTCTCACTTTGTCATCATGGTATTGTTTATTGACATGCATGCAGAAATAGTTGCGAGACTCCGACTTGTCTGATTAGCAATTACAAATCAGGTCTATTACATTGTATAATTTGCCTCGAGTCACGAAAGTAAACTCGTGAAATTGTTGGATGCATCTTGCATGTTTTTTTTTCGGGATCTAAAGAGGTCCATGAGTAATCCAGAAGGGACAGAACCACAATCGAACCAGGTGCACTATACATCCGTATAGATTTTTTTGAAGTTGCCTACATATTGTGGCAATTGATGAAAGACAAGACTTGAATCCTTGACCTCCCACCACATCAAGCCTTAATGCTTTAATGGTGGTCACCAACCCAAAGTCCGGTGGTTGCATTTTGCACATGTTTTACTCCACAAGATTTTAGCTAAAGTACCGAGCCTTTAGAAACTACAGTAGGGCATAGCACACAATATATTAAGAACAGTACTAGCAGTATAGCAGGAGAAGAAAAAAAAAATCTATTTTAGCTTTTCTTTACTGCGTTTGTGGTTGAAGCTTTTCCTCGTGGGATCTCCTACCCTCCATCTTCAGCATGTGGAGCAAAAAATCACTCCAGGAATCAATAGGTCCAGGCAAGCACCAATGCACACAGTCGTTGTACAATGTCACATTTTCATGCGGCCAATGTCCATATCTGCTGGGATGGCCATCGGGTCTCAAAAGCATGGCTTGAGTTACATCCAGCAACCTATACCTCAACCCTTTTTTCTTCCCTTCCCATTCTGCAGCCCTAAATTCCTCCATTTGAGTCAAGTAAACCTCTAAATTGTTGGCCTCCAGGGCAGTCTCGTTGCTCCAAAACGGCCTCTTTCTCAGACAATTTCCACCCTTGTTCCATTCCCCGTTTTCAAAATGAGAAGGTGCGTAAGTCCTGAGAAATGTTATACCCCTGTAATTTTTTAAGCTATTGATTGCCCTGAATGCTGTCCTCAGCGCTCTTCTATACCCGTAAGTCATTGGGAGGTCTATGATGTTCCCTAGTTGACAAAAACGACACCCCACGAGGCGGCGTTTCTCATAGTACATGCTCGGACGGAAGTACCATTGCCCGGCGTTGAGGATGACGTAATCAAATCCTTCAATCTGGGTGCTCCATTTCTCGTCAGACTCATCAAGGTAAAGATCGAAGAGGTCAGCTGCGCCTGGTTTTTGAAATCTAACCAAGAAGGGTGACCAAAATGCTGCCAGGGTGAAGTTGTAACTTGGGTACTTCCACCTCCTGAAATAGTCATCATCCGTGGCCGAGTCGTCAATTGGAAATTCCACCTAAAATGAGAAATTATTTCAAATCTTTAGGATCAATTTGATGTTGTTGGCTTGCCGTTGTGCTTATGCTCTGTTTGATAACTCAATTTAATACTTAAATTTAATGAATTCAGATCTTAGTATGTTGAAACCCTAATGATAATAAAAGAAATATATAATATCTGAATTAATTAAGTAGCACTGAATTTTCTAAACAAATTTTGCTCTAAAAAATAATTAATAAATTATTCACTTATCACTTAAAATGACATACACTTAAATGTATTAAATTTTGTACTTAATAATTTAATAAATTAAATTTTTAATTTTTAATTTTTAATTTTCAGATTTCAATTTCATGAAAAGCACCCTTAATAACGTAAAGACGTCTTCCTACAATTAGAGCTGTAAACGAACCGAATCGAACCGAGTATCTCATGTTTGAGCTCTGTTCGTTAAGCAGTTCGAACAACGTTCGTGTTCGTTCGTTAATTTTCGAACTCCAAACCTGTGTTCGTGTTCGGTTCGTTAAGTAAAATTCGTGTTCGAGTTCGAGTTCGAGTTTGGCTCGTTTAACATAAACGAGCCGTTCGCGAACATGTTCGAAATGCTCGAATCCAAATTATTTTATGCCTTAAATATGCCATGCAAATTATTAATCATTCTAAAAAATAATTAAAGCACTAAGTGACTAAATTCTATTATTCATTAACTATATAACTAACATTAACATAAAAACAACAAATAAAACAAAGAAATTTGCCCTCCAAATATAAAAGTCCAGCTATAAATTAACCCTAAAATTTGTTAAATGATAATTATGTCTATGTTCGCGAACGTTCGTTAAAACTCGCGAACATGATTGTGTTCGCGAACGTTCGTTTAGCATGTTCGCGAACGTTCGTTAAAACTCGCGAACATGCTCGTGTTCGCTCGATTATTAATCGAACAAAAAAATTCGTTCGAACTCGGTTCGTTTAAAATTTCGAACGAGCCTTTCACGAACACGAACGAGCCGAAACGAACCGAGCTACCGAACAGCTCGGTTCGTTTAACAGCTCTACCTACAATATTTAGCAATGCTAGCACGTTAGACGGTCCTAGCAATTGTTCCTTGCACTGAATCTGGAACGCGAAACCATCCCAATAACCATGATGCACAGAGAATATCGATAACTTAATTATCGACTTATTCTGTCCGGATGCAGAAAAAGACCGAATTATGGCACAGCTAGTTAGGTAAAGTTGGGTTTTGACAAAAAAAAAAAAAAAGTTAGGTAAAGTTGGTCATTTGCCAGCAAATCTCTGACACGATGTTCTTGTTAATTGTTGGTTATGCTTTCTAGCTAGATGGGCCAAAATCAAAAACAGGTAGACATGTTATGTTGACTGGTTGACCGAAATATACAACAAAATTGCATGATCTCTAGGACTCCTCTAGCCCTAAGCCGAAATATTAAAGGGAAAGAAATTTAGGATTTGCTCCACGAAAAAAAAAGAAAAAATTTTGTACAGTTTTTTAGCTTGAGAAGTTTATGTGTTAAGGAAACTTAGGAATTTCATTTTTTTAAAAAAAAAAAAAAAGAAGAAAGAAAGAAGAGGGCATGCATACCCTGGACAAGAGGCATATCAAGGATTGCATGTGGTTTCTGCCAATGGAGTCTCCCACAAAGGCCATGGACTTGCCTCTGACGATGTCTAAGAACTGATACGGGTTGAAGATCGGTAAATCACACCCCTCTGGCTTCCACTTCCATTTCATAAACCCGTCATCGGGCCTTCCATATTTCATGCAGTTCTGATGCTCGTGGATCGCCCAGCACGTAGCGTTTGTGTAGTAGGGCGCATTGGGGTTTGGAATCCATTCCCCTGTAAAGATGTCACACTTTTCCTCATCTTCTACTGCCTTTATCAGTTTCTGGGCCGAATGGTATGGAGGGGAAGCGGCGATCTTCACTACTGCTTGAGACGGGTATCTTCTCAGAGGGTAGTAAATCGGGAGAATCGCGAGAATGACTAATGCTGTTACTGTTACTGCTATGGGAAGTATCATAGGGGCCCTTTGAACCGAGTTGCTTTTGACAAATGCAGCCTGATCCATTCCTTGGAGCTAATGCTTCAATTAGCGTTGTTGGTAAGTGGAGATCAGAATGGTGAATGAAATGGCTGATGAGTATACGTTAAATGAACACAGAATAGAGGCAGGATCTGAAATGAGAGTAGTTTAGTAGATATATTGCAGAGGTTGGGTGGCCGTACGTAGCACATATACATATACAACATTATGTGGTTTAGTTGGACGGTTTGATGGGGGACTACTTAAAAAAGAGCAAAAGCAAATTGAATGGTTTAGTTCGAAGGAGTTATAAATTAGTCTTAGCTTAACCAAAGAAAACAGTTTTGTTTTCTTGTGCAGTTGAATATTTAAGACTATAAGTAGCAAGCTAGTAGTTGCAACTTATACTCCCAATTATGCTAAGTAGTACATAATATTCCATTAAACCCATAATTCGGAACAAAAGAATAAAAATTTAATGCATGATCCAAGTGTTTCCCAAGCCTAGCAATGCACGTTAATTAAAAATGCGAAGTATCTGCAACAAGGAGGAGGAGGAGGACATGCAAGAATTGTTTCATATGCTTTCAACAATTAAATGCACTACCAGCGTGTGGCCGTAGTTATTAGGAGTGTGGTTAAGCAATTGTTTCGAATAAATACTTGCGCAGTCAACACTCAAATAATGGAGATTGGAGAACATTAACTAGGAGTTAGTTAGGACTTGCAAGGTTGAGATGGTGAAACTTAGGGAGAATATGATGATTTTATTTTTTAAGTTCGAGCTCGAGTTTGGGATTTTGAACTCGTCGAATTCGAATTTGAGTTTTGTAAAATTAAATTGAGTCTTGACTCGATTAAAACAAAATTCAAGTCGACTCGACTCGTTTGCACCCCTAGTTGAGATGGTGAAACTTATGGAGAACATGATGATTTCTAGGTCTAAGCTGCAGATCCAACCAATCTACTCATCTTCCATATACAGTTCGTACTATTATTCTACCAATTCCACCATCTTTGATTCCCTTAACTAAAAGTGTCTGCAGTGTCCCGAGTCACGATCGAATCCCACCATTTTCAAAACTATGTCAGCACAAGAGTCCAAATTCTTCACTTACCCATACATGTGCTGCCTAGTTTTCCTCAGGGATGTCCTAAATGTTTTATTCAGCATTCTTTCAACTATGTGAAAAAGAAAATCAGCTGCTGGTAGAGGTGAACAAATTCGATACGTACCGAATTCATAACCGAATTCAAATTCAATTTGGAAATTTGAAATCGGGTATTTGGTAATTTAGTACAAATTCGGTAGGTATCAAATTCACCGAATTCTAATATGGTATGAAATAGGTAATGAGATTATGAATTTGGTAATAACCGATTTCGCATTCAAATTCGGTAAAATAAAATAGGGTACCGCATTACCGCATTCGAATACCAAATTATTTTATAAAATTATATAATTTATAGATAAATGCTATTTAGTATTAGTATATACTACTAATATATTATTATATTATATAGGTAAATGCTATTAATAATAGTTAGTACATGGTATTATTATGTACTTATAATAATAATAATATATACTAATGTACAATATATTTTAGTATTTGTTAATTGTTATATGACTATAATAATACAAATATATAGTAATACATAACAATATAACATAACTGTAATACTTATTATTTTATACATGAGTAACATGACTAGAATTAGATAATAATTAATACATTTATGTATAATACTAAATATTAAACAATAAACATAATTAGTAATTAGAATTTAGATATTGGTAATTTGATACATCATTCGTGTTTGAATTATTGAATATTTGAATGCGTAACCTGTAACTTGCAAGTATTAGTATGTTCTAAATTTACATTACATATTTAACATAAAAATTCATATTTTCTATTCACTAATCTTAAGGTTTTAAGTATAGATAAGACAACTAAGCAATGTAAGTGAATGCATATGAATTGCAAATCAATGTATTAGTGTATTGACTTTCACAATAACATATGTAAGCAAATAAGTTTTATTTTGATTTGAAATAAATTATAAGTTTGTAACTAATATAACTTATCACTAATCATTGTAATTTGTAAGTTTGTAACTAATATTACTTATTATTAATCATTGCAAATTATAAATTCATAAATTATCACTAATCATTGTACAGCCTAAGGTTTATTCTAGTTTAAATTAATCACTTTTTATGTGTTCCTTAAATCATAGACTAAGGATTCTAGGTATAAGTGATCAAATAAATGCCAATTAAACCACAAAATGATTAGAACATAAGTCAAAATAAATTCGGTTATAGCCAATTCGAAATTGAAAGCGGTTTAGATTTCTATAAGTCAAATAACCGAATTCAACTAACCGAATTACCGAATTTGCACCGTTTGCTCACCCCTAGCTGCTGGTCATGGAGCTCAAATATGAGAGATTACATGTGGTAGTGCTTAAAAATTTAACTGGTAAAAAACCTCATAATCGGAGCAGGTAGAGATTGGTTATGCTGACATTCTTGAGGTAATATTACATGCTCCGTATGATCTCACGAAGCCGATTTGTGAGCCAGAAATAATTATGCATAATCTTTTTTCTACTTTTAACAAAAAAAAAAAAAAAATTCCCATACAGTACAGGACCGTAACTTTTTGCATGTGATAGCGATCTGTAACAATTTTGTGAGGTCTCAATTTTCTCCTGATATCGATGTATAGTTCCGTAACAAAATTTCAAAATCCGGAACAAACATGGGGCTCCCATAAAACAAAACAAAAAAAAAAAAGAACAAAGAAAATTCAAGGGGAAAAAAATTAAAATCTGACAAAAAAATTGTACACATATTCGGTATATCTACATTATTCTTTTTCAAAAAAGAAAATGAAAAGAAAGTATCTACCTCATTCTTTTCTTTTCTAGGGTTAGGGTGAGCCGAGAGGTGGTTCTCCTATATGAACACTACGAAAAAGAAATCTCCGTTTCCTCCCTTTTCAACAGTTCTAACAAGAAATCATTCCAGGAGTCAATTGGTCCAGGCAAACACCAATGCACACAATCATTAGCCATTGCCACATCATGATTAGGCCAATGGCCATATTTACTGGGGTGACCATCTGGTCTCAGCAGCATGGATTGCGTCGCATCAAACAACCTGAACTTTAAACCTTTTCTTCTTCCTTCCTTCTGCGCAATTCTGAGTTCTTCAAGTTGAATCCTATACATTTCCAAATTGTAATCATCCAAAGCTCTCTCGCTCCTCTTGAAAGGCCTGGTCCTAACACAATCTCCACCTTTGTCCCATTGGCCACCTTCGAAATGTGACGGGGCAAAGGTCCTAAGAAACGTTACGCCCTTAAAATTGTCTAAGCTGTTAAGGGCTCTGAAAGCTGTCCTGAAAGCTCTTCGATAGCTAAAAGACGATTTTAAATGAGTGACGTTCTCTTGTGGACAGTAGAGGCAGCCGATTAGGCGGCGGTCTACATAGAAGAGTGTTGGCCTGAAGAACCAATGCCCGGCCGAGATGATAACATAGTCATACGTTTCGATGTTGCTTGTCCAGTCTTCATCAAACTCATCAAGATAGAGTCTGAAAGGCCGAGTTACATCATTTGGAACCGTCTTTTCTGATCTCACCAAATATGGAGCCCAGAACATGGAAATGTTGAAGTTGTAATCCTTGTATACCCAACGCTTGTTCTCGTCTGTTGTTATAGAAACATCCTCCGGATAAACAACCTGAATTCACACGCCAATGCAACACATTATGCGAAATCCTATCTAAAGAGAGAGAAAAAAAAAAGATGTTTAAGGTAAATTTATGCCAATGGCAGATACAATGGTAAGATTTTTTTGTCATTGGAATATCTCAAATTTCTCAACAAAAAGGATTTTGACTCAAGAGCCTTAGCATATATTATAGGTAGTGGACAAAACTGGTTCTTTTCTTAAAAGATGTTTATTAATTATGAATCCAGCATCAAGGAAGCTTTGCATTAATCTAATGAAGAAGTAGACTGGTAGTTTAACTGTTAGATTGATTTTCTTATTCCCTTATGTATTAACAATACTTGGTAATCTACTTGCTGAAGTTGAACTGATGATTCTAGTGGAGAAATAACTAGAAACAACACTAGCAACATAAATGTACCTTATGTTACATAAAAAAAAGCAAAAACCTTCATGACCAATTAAAAATCAAGATTGTGCGGCCAGCACCGTACGTCAAAATATTCGCCGTTGAAATTTCATGAATTCGAAAAAGAAGAGGCAAGTATTGAATAAATGCATTGAATTAGCAAATGAACACGTACTAATAACAAAGATGGTAATGGACCGGAATTGAGGCTTACCCTGGACAAGAGGCATATCAATGACTGCATGTGATTTCTCGCAACAGAGTCTCCCACAAATGCAATGGATTTCCCTCTCACAATTTCCAAAAACTGTTGGGGGTCGAAAATCGGCAGCTCACACCCATCAGGTTTCCACCTCCACTTCAAGAACCCTGTATCAGGCTTCCCGAATTTCATGCAATTCTGATGCTCTTGAATTGCCCAACAGGTCTCGTTCGTGTAATATGGCCCCTCAGGGTTGGGTACCCATTCCCCCGAGAACAAGTTACAGTACCCTTCACCTTTCTTCTCTATCAATTCCTGAGACTTATTCACCAGCCCACCATCTCCACCGCTAAGGCTTGGAATTCTCCTGGCAGGCATTTCTCGTTCTTTTGGGCTCCCCCCAAAATCATGTTGGCGACGTTTAGGCCGTTCTTTATTTCCTCCAGGCCTTGCTGGTTTTTTGCCATTGATCACCTGTTCCTGGCCTCGGCTCGTTTGATCAGCCCTTTTATCCAATGATTCTGCAATTGCCAGCCCACTTTCTGTAGAGCTAGGTAGGTCTATTTCTGGTGGTTTTGTTGTTGTTCTTGTCTCTGTATCTGCTGATTCGTCTTCTTGATCTTTCGAGCTTTCGGGGGGTCTCTCTGCAATATCATCATCCCCTTGTGTTTCTTTCGGGGCCGCCAATGTTCGGTCACCTTCTTCGACTAGATGATGGTCTTGGTCATTGTTTTGTTCTAAAGTGATTTCCGAATGAGGATGAAAAGAG